TGGTCCAACTGCTTTGTACAGCGACGTACGAATGCAAGAATACATTAATTGCGACGGCATATACTTAGGCAAATAGTAAATGTATCGTAAGTCTTATATCTAGTCTTATTTATCAGAATCCAGAAACTTTCAGTATGCCCTAAGTATTCCTAATGCGGGAGTTGTCGTTAATAAATAATTCAACTTGCCTAGATAATGTGTTTCACTTTTAAATTACAGTAATGTAATATGTGTAAGTGACACGTTTTCTGCGAACACCAGAAGGCCAATTCTCGTAATAAATTTTCGGTCACAATTCAGTGCCCATGAACTCTCGATTTCACAACGGTACAAAGGTGTTTTCGTAGTACAGTATTAATCATTCCAACGTTGACTGTAATGTGATTATATCGAATTATCGTATCGTAACCGAAAATTGAATCGATAATCTGCTAGTCTTACTTTACTACTACTTGACTATTTTACAACGAAAATATCTTCTATGACAGTTGCGAGAACGAGAATTGATCGGAAGTGAATTGTGACCGAACTTTTATTACGAGAATTGGCCTTCAGACCACCAATATACTTATATATTTAATGCTGCAACATCTGTACAGATTGATGTCCAATTATAGAAACGGTTCTAGATACGGTTTCGTCAAGTCTCAGTTCAGTTCCGACAATGATTACAGTCCCGGGGATGGTTGCGTCAGGCAAGCGGCCGCCATAAATTTTATTAACAACAGCCAAACCTTCAATGGCTGGACCAGACTGATACCACAGCCTCACAGAAATCCAATGTTTTAATAATTCTATCGTTACTTTTCACAATATGAGTGAAGTAATCGGAGCACAATCCTCCCCCTTATTCTGGAGTGGGTGAGCTCAAACGGCGCCAACTTACTTGTGACTCTTGAGTTGCAGATTGCACTTACCATCGGGTGACCCGTCTTCTCGTTTATCCCACAAGTCATAAAAAAAAACAAATATAATTATTATAAAGATAGGGAAATAATAATGTCAGTCTAGACAGGTTTCTTTCATCATCATCAGCCTATTGCCGTCCACTGCTGAACGAAGGCCTTCCCCATGGAGCGCCAACCATAATAAGTTTCTTTATTATTTGTATATGCATAGGTATATGAAACAAAAACACAGGATATTTAAAATTACCGATATAATGTAGACACATAATATCAAATACAAAGTGGTCCTAAAAGATACATATGCCTTAAAGTAGTATAAGCTCATTGCTGATATTTGTATCACAAAGAAAAACATTATCCGAAATAAATAACGCAGTCAAAACATTGCTACATGTAATTATGAAAAAGTTTATACAAAATGGTAACAAACACAAAATCAGAAATTGCTATTGTCACTTCCAATAGGCATTATACAACTTAACTATCATAGTTGACGAAAGTTCCGTAGGTTCAAGAAACATTCTGCAAGTATTTAAAACAAAAGTTTTTTTTTTAATTTGAAGAGGATGATAGTAACGTTTTCAAATAAAAACAATTAAAGAAACATAGTATCATTCTAAAACTTGAAAATGTAAGAAGAGTTGTTACGAGCTCATGACTCAACTTAGAATCTTATAAAAGAAGTTCGTATCTTGAAAAAGATTGACGTAGTACTCATAGTACACCATCACTTGGTTTTTACAGGTACAGTAAACATAAAATAGAAAGAAGTTTAGTACAGTCTCCGCAATAAGTTTATAGGACCTCCTTTATCGTTTATTATAATATTACCATAATAATGTTTTACCACATAAAGTTTAATACTCATATATATTACGACCACCTAATTTTAAAATATTGAATTATGTAGATTTGTTTCGAGGTTACCTGAACATTTATTAGTTTTAACTATCGAGTATTGCTCAATAAACATAAGAAATATATAGCATCCGTGGAATTCTATCCGTAAGTATAATGTTTACCATAGTTGATGACTTTTTTAGTGTCGTAACAAATGCAATTAATACAGAATGTAATTTGATATTTAAACATTTTATGTATGAAGTTTGACCTGCATATTGCTTCTCATATTTATCACATAGTGTTATAATGTAGAAAGTCTTGGATGGATTCAGATTGCCGGTCATTATATAATTTGAAAGTAATTTGGCACCCCTAAAATAAGTGTGTAATTACACAGCTACTAAGCGCGAGGTCATATTAACTTTACTAAAAGAATAATTGAGTCAATATTGTCCTTATAATTAGATCTAATAGTGTTAAAGTTTATTATTTAGTTAATATAGAGATCAAGCATGTCTTTACGAGTCCAAAATATATTTCTACATTTTAGACGTTTAGGAATCAAAAGCTAATCTAAAAGTTTACCGTTTCTACGTATTATCGACTTAGCATTGGCAAGATAGTAAGGTAATGTCATATTCAATGTCATGTTTGATCTCTTTACCAATGAAAATAATGAAACACATCACAATCACAGAGATCTCATTGGTGTAATTTGCGGTGGCAAACATAAGTTCAACTCAATGTCGACATACCATTAAATTTAATTCAATCAAAATGAGAAGATATAACACTAACTGTATCTCAAATTCATATACATATTATAATAAAAACTAAATTAGATAACAACCAACAAAATAACTTAAAGGTACATTACTAGTGTACACCTCACTTTATAGTTTTAAAACAAAACATATCATTTACACTAACACAATGTAAAACAATGAAAGACTTATTTTTTTTAGGAGTTCTACCTAGGTGATCTTTTTAAATTAATATGAGTTACTGAAATAAAATAATATATAAATTTTAAATGCCTTACAGTTTTTCGAAGGACTTTTATAGGATTTATAGGAAGTTTTATTTAGATTACCCAAGTATGAAGGTTATTTTTATAGTAATATTTGATACCTTTATGTATGTGTTTGTGTGTATGCAAACTTAAAAGACAACTCACCTACCGCACCGTTCAAGATAATTCAGTGTACAATAACAATATGACAACTAATTACTGTATATAGACAGTACTCTACATCTACATGGCCATTATTGCGACTGAATGCTAATGTAAGAATACTTAGTAACAGTAGTGCCGAATGATTTTACCAGTAAAATCATCTTTACAATAATTAAAATATTTATAAACGAGCATACGCGTCCTTGTACTAGTACAGCACACAGTGCACACAGCACTAGTACAGCAGTAGTATTTAGCAATGCTTTGTGTAGCATCAACATCGTATAAAAATATTATTAAACTATTTGCGCTATATTATAAGTGCTTTAAAGTTTATAATAAATAACTTATATTATCGTCAAGTTGCGTTAAAATTAACACACAATTGTTTTGATATTGCGTGGCTGTCGATAATTACTTTACTGTCCAGCTTATATTATTGCTTAGCAACAACGATACCAATTGATATCACTCACCGTTCTTAACGTTTACCATCACAGCGCAATTATTTATTAGTATAAAAAAGCCTTTGGCATCGTCAAAACTAAAGGAAGGCTACACCGTCGTGCGTGTCTTATTTAATTATATTTAAACTAATTGATAATTAGAAAATTCCTTTATTAATTGAAATACGTTAAGTTTAAATTTGGCTCTACTTTTTGGATTAGTCGTTGACTATTCCATTTGTCGATCATTTATCTAATGGTCAAATAGAATACAAAAATATTGGTACCTCATATAATCGGTTTTAGTTACTACATACATCTTGTACAGATTTATAAATATTAGAGTTGTGGGAGAGGCTAGATATGAGACATGTAATACATCCTTAAATCTAACCGTTAATATTCTTAAAGATTAATATCGGTCACTAAATGTTAACTTTTCAATCCTTTCATATTAATCGACAATAATTTTAATAATGTAAATTTGGTTCTTTTGGTTGAATTTATCCCGTTTTTTCAACGAATGGTCGGATTTTAGTTAGACGAGGCTTAATAGTTTCGGTTTGTTGAGTCCACAACTGAAACGTACTTGCCAATGGTGGCCATCCATTATATTCTGAGCCGTCAGCCATCTCTGAATCGTTGTTGCTCCTTCGTGATTTCTACAAAAACATTCAGATGTTGCTATGATTTTTTTTTTATGCTACTGTATGATTTAATCATGTTTCATAACGGAATTGACATGTAAACTCTAATGTGCACTGCAATGTGATGAAACTTTAATGTCAGCGGTGAGTGGAATCGATTAGATTATATCCAATAATTGTCCGGAAAAATTAACAAGCTATAAATTTGCGAATGTACTATCAAGTATGTACTGATTATGTAATGATATCGTACATTTATAATTTATTTGGTTAAGTGGTCTATAGGAGACTTGACAGCCGATTTCTGCTAGACCAAGATCCAAGATGGCCAGAATTAGAATAGCCACCCCCTCTTTGGCCGGTTCACACTAACTTGTCTTGTTGATACAACTTGTAAGTCAAAAGTGCATTCTTTTCTAATTTAAACATTCAGTTTCTTCTACCCTCGTTGTAGATGCATAGAAATTAGGGTTATTCCTTACAAATACAGCTATTACTAATTGCAAGCAACTGTTGATTGCAACCATTAATTCAAAATAAATATCTCAGCGAGACACGTGATAGACCTACACCTCTACCGCACACTTTTATAAAGTTACTGTGTTATTCCCCTTGTCAGGAATGTTGGATCCTGGGCTAAACATTATTATCTGCCAACAGTATAGTAAGAACTAGTGGTGTGAACCAACTGCCAAAATAGAACGGATCCGGACATACATCACTTTTCGCCCCCGGATATATCCGTGAGCACGGATACAGATATTCGGCACATAGCTAGTAAACACCTAATTTTTGTAGCATGTTTTGTTTTGAAAAGTTTTGCACAAAAAAAACAACAAAAAAAATAGCAAAGCTTAGCTGATTCATTTGAAATATTTCGATTTTGTAAGTAATAACTGCATACAACAAGGTTCTTGCGAGACTGTGCTGCTGTGGGACAATAAACTGTAAAACTATGTTAATATATAATTATAAGAAATTAAATACCAACATGTTTACGATGACGTCCTTTCTTCTGAAGCCTTGTCTCATCACCTTCCGAAGTAACGTCCATGGAGTTGGCATTTTTGCTAAACCCTGGTCCCCTTTGTTCTATTTTACCTTCAAATTCTTGTATAAAACGAGCTTGGTTAACATAACCAATTGGCCGGCCAACTAGATATCCAGGATTGACTGTGATTTCTGTAAAAAAATATTACTTCATTAAAGTACAGGGACATTTGGTATGTTTGTTGTACTTCAGTCCACCTATGCGCCTCTTCCACGTTAATCAGGCCTTTCATACACGATCGCGGGTGACGTGTGCTTCTAACGAGGATCTTCTTTAGTACACTGCCAATCTCGTCAGTATTTCGGAGCCTGTACGCATCTGATCGCCCGCTCACAGGGATCTCATAAGCTCTTTAAGTCATTCGTTCTTAACTCATCCTTTCAACATGCCCAAACTATGCATTCCTTTTTCAATTCTTGAACCCTTCCTCTTAGCTTATCGTTCAATCATATATTTAACATATTTTGTATTGAACTCATTTCAATATATTCTATAGTTTTTTAAATATTTGCGGCATTGAAAAAATTCAATTCGTTAAAATACTCATAGCAAGATGCACATCAGGTTAATACTACACCATGACGGAATCCAAATAATCATTACCATTATCATCATCATCATATATTTCATGCAGTATGGTTTGTTTTCATCTAATAAATTAAAAAAAAAAATCAAATGTGATTTTTTCATTCGCCTTAATATACATGACCCCAAGATTGACTAGCAGAGAAAGCTACCTTGACATAAAGTACAGATTTGTTCAAAATTTGAATGAATTGTTAAATTAGTAGGTACACAACATTAGAGCTCCTTAGACAATTAACTTGTTAAGTTTGATCAAAATAATGATACTTAGCTGTTAATATTAATTCTTCTATAATATGCAAGTTACCTGTTCCCAATACTTCATTAACCATGAAAGGATAGAGCCATCCAACCAGCGGAGTTACACCGGATGTGTAATGAGCAAGTTTGTGATAAAATAGTAGACCATCCAGAGCGGGCGTATCATTTTTGAACAGTGGCAAAGTCATCATAAATCTGTAAATTACAGCACAATGTTATGTTTTAGTTAATCATTAGAAAAATAAATAAAATAAAAATTGTAATATGACATCTTACGAGATAAACCAAAATAATGTACTACGGAATTGTATACTTTTGTGGCATCTACACTGCACCCGTGCGAAGCCGGGGCGGATCGCTAGTTATAGATAAACGATTATAGTTCAAACACTTGTGTAGATAACAAGTGTTTGCTAAGCGTAAGGTCATAGTTAAGTAGGTAAGTATTAGAAGACTAAAACCGCACGCAGTCTCGGATAACTCAGGAACCAGGTACCCTTTTTTTTTCCGTGCGGAAATCCCCTCGGATACCACCTATCGGTGGCATGTCGGACTCGAACCGACTAAAACCGCACGCCGCCTCGGGTACTAATAGCCGGGGAACCAGGTATACCCTAGAAAGGAAGTCCCTGGTGCCCCGACATACCTCAGGCCATCTACAGACGACCCCCCCCCCCGTGTGGGACCCCACGTTCCCTCTGCTCACTGGAAGCGAGCGCGCTTCGCAACGCGCTCGCCGCCACCCCGGCCTGCTTCTGCTAGTGTGACAGATGGCCTCACTTGTCACCCCCAGGCCTGCGCTTATAGAGGACGGAGGTAATTCTGCGACCTCCGGCGCCTGAGTCGCCTGCGGTACCTGGCCCGTTCCCGGGCCTGGCGGGCCGGGAGAGTTCTAAACCTCTCCCGGTCCCGCTCCGCCGTCTCCTTCGCGAGCATAACTTGCTCGAAGAAGGAGACGGAAAAGTTCCACGCACTCTCGCTCCGCACGATAGCCGCAATCAGGCTATCGAGCGAAAGAACTCCCACTCCGATGGCCGCCACGAGGTCTCGCCTCTGCTCAACCCACGCCGGGCACCCTGCCAGCGTTTGGAGAGCCGTGTCCACGGTCTGGCCATCGCAGTGGTGGCACTCAGGCGTTGGCTCCTTGCGGATCAGACACAGGTGATCCCCGAAACATCCTTTCCCAGTGATCACCTGCGTCACTCGGTATGAGAGGGTCCCGTGACGCCTATCGAGCCAATCCTCCATAACGGGTCTTACCGCCGCGATGACAGCGTGCCCGAGGAACCAGATACCCTAGAAAGGAAATTGCTAGTGCCCCGACGGAAAAGGAAAAACGTACCCCCAAGTATAATTCCAGCCAGTAATTTGACACGGTTTAGATTGCACTGTTTCTGTTTTTCTGTGAGTCCTTCTAATAAAGAGTGAGTACAAAATAGACAGAGAAAGAACGGAAGCGTGAATTTTTATAACGAACCGCCGCAAGTTTTACATTAATAAGGTTTTTAGACTTACTTGTTAAAGGATTCTCGTGTACAATCTATCTTGGGTAAGATGTCAAAAATGATTTTATTCTTGGGATTAATTGTTTTCAAATCGGGTATATCTTCAATATGAGTCTTCATCCAAAAATGTCGGAATTCTGTCTGCAATTTTAAATAAACAAATACGCCTGAGTTAGGTATAGTCTGATGCCACTTTGACATCGGTGACCGAAGGCCAGTAACCGACATCTTTGGTTGTTTATTTGTTCAGTGAGTTTACACAATACTGACTACAGTCAAATTGTGTTACCACTCGTACGTATTAGAACCTTCTGATAGACGATCATTAGCATTCTTTCGAAAAAGCCCCATTTATCGGATATAGAACGTAAATTTGATTTTAATTAACAACGAAAAGTATTTAAGGTTTTGAAACATAAGCAGTATATTACCTCGCCATCAGACATTGGCTGGTTATTCCATGCCAGCAAATCCAAAACATACATAGTGTTAGTGGATTCCACATGAAAGCAATCTAATACCACACATCGGGTACTGGAATTAGGATCCAAGGGATTACCGCCTGGTAAAGCTGTATGGCATGCACTTCTAAAGGTTCCGTGTTTGGTGTAAAACTTTGTATTACCCTGAAACATAAAATTGAGGAACTAAGTACCGAATCAAGTTTTACTGTAGGCTCACTCATTGATGAGTTTAATACCGACTATTGAAGCTACGAAATAAAGTGCATTCGAACTCGTGGGCAATCTATACAGAACAAATTTACTAGCCACATTCAGAATATTAAGTGCTTTCTTGTTATTCATATGTTGATAGACAGATCCACGATGTGTAGGAAAAAGATTTCTCAGATGTCTTATATTCATTTTGAAAGCTTACTGGTTCTATTTTTAAATTTAAGAACCTATATTTCAAGTTGATGATGGTAACTCGATTAATCGTTTGACTAAGCAGACGTGTTTTTTGTATTGGACATAATGTACGAGATATAAATAATAAATAATTTCTAATAAGTAATTATTTTGTAGCGTAAGTGCTTTTCACTAAGTGTGTCACGAGCAGAGTGATAAATGGCTACTGTGTCTGTTCTTAAACTGTGTATTTAGCATGGTCTAAAATATTTTTTAAACCGTGAAACTGTGTCAATATTAATGTCTAACCCAGGATCAAGCCCATTTGGCCGTAGCCAGTTAATACGGAGGAGTCCCCCACCGAAGCCCACACAACAATATCAGCCGACTGCTGAAAAACCGCCTTTGCCCGACAAAAATGATTTACCTAGCGAGGTAATACCGACGTCGGAGATCAAGAAATGGATGACGAGTATTGATGCCCTGTTAGGTAAGGTCTGCTCTATAGTGGCAGAGGGCAAAATGAACACGGATCAGAAGTGCCTGTCACAAATATTTGCCGTAAGATCGGATCTGGAACGTCACAGATGGCCGTACTGTACCAAGCTCTGAAGCAGAAAACCAGGATGTAGCGAGCTCCCTCAGCCAATTTAAAAGCACTGTTGAAGAAAAGCTGAGTACGCCGGAACGTACCTCCTTTGCCGATATGGTGAAAAAAGGTGCAGATAAGTTTGTCCGTCCAAACAATGTTAGTACCCTAGCTATCTACCCTAGCGACAAGACCAAAACTAGCTAAGAAACCAAGTCTCTGGTCCAATAAATCATTTCACCGGAGGAACTGAAACTGCACGTAAGGGGCCTTAGAAAAGTGAGGAATGGAGGCGTTCTCATTAGTGCCGCAACTAGAGGGGATATCGAAAAACTAAAGCAGTCAGAGAAATTAGTTTCGTCAGGCCTAAAAATTGAAGAACCTACTAAACGTAATCCGAGAGTCACTGTTGTGGGTGTACCCGTAGCCCTGACTGAAAAAGAGGTACTTGAATACATTTACGAGCAGAACTTGGCAGATAAGTTTCCTGGCGCTTCTCGCGAGTCCTGTCTCAACACCATAAACTGAGCCTCAAATCAGGTAAGATAAGCTTTCCTACCTGTAACTATATACTTGAGGTGCCGGCTAACATTAGAAAAGTGCTTATCAATCAAGGGAGAATCTACATAAACTGGACTTCTTGTCCAGTTAGAGACTTCACGCTGGTGACTAGGTGCTTCAACTGCCAGCAGTTTGGACATGCAGCTAAATATTGCCGTGAAACCAGCCCAACCCTTAACCATTGTGGAGAGCTCGGGCATACCTTTAAGGAATGCAACAAAAAAGCTGCACCACCTACTTGTGCGACGTGTAAGCGTTTCAAAAGGACAAGTGATCACCAAATGGTGATGGAAGTTGCCCAGCACGGAAATACGCTGAGGACAAATACATCAATTCTATAAACTATGAGGGCGCCTAAGAGCGCCGGTATTAATTGATAGTGTAAGCACTTATACCTTTTTTATATGTTATTTTAATTAATAATGTCTAACCAGTTGCTCTGTGACCTAGATAATTTGTCTGTGTCTGAGGTTAAATATTGTGAAGACGAAGACTGTAAACAATATGTGCCGACTACGGATAATTTACTCACAATTATTACACAAAATAATTCGCAGTATACACAAAAACATGATTGGTTTTGATTTATTGTTACATACTCTTGATATAAACTGTGATATTATCATCTTGACAGAGTGTTGGTTGTCTAATCAGCATCCGCATTTACCATCTCTTAAGGGTTAACTACTGCATAAGAATGATATAATATTGAACCAAAACGATGGATTAGTAATATATTGCACAGCATTCTAAAACAGCATACTGAACTTCCCTATAACCATCATCTATACCATCAAATAAGAGAAGGAAGGACATAGTGTATAGCAGGCCTCAAGCTAGTCAAACATTTGTTCATAGGTTTTATTTATTTTTAGGACCTTTTTTATACAATAAAATTAATAGAATACTAAATATATACAGCCTCAATAATAAAAATGTGTGATCATGTTATCAGAATATTTAGGTAAACTTAACTATGCAGACACAGAAAATGTATTGGCAATTGTTAAATGAGTCTCAAATAGTTTTTGTATAATATTATTTTCTATTATTTCCTTTCGTACTTGTACACTTTGTAGATTTTTTTATATTTTCTAGTGATCTGTTATGTTTATCTTACATTTCTACCTTAAAAATTCCATGTCAAGCGATCGCCTGAAACACAGGTTTACCGTAGTTCAGGCAGGCAGCGACTAAAGTTTTTAACAAAATCGCAATATCTTTATGTGTAGAAAACCATAAATAACACTACTATAGATTTACGTTAGTGTAACTTAGTCTAATTATTGTCTAAGATCTATGTTAAACTGAAATGTCCTACACTGTAATATTTATATTGGTCAAATAAAAATGATTATATTATTATTATTATACTAGCTGACCCGCGCAACTTCGTTTGCGTCTCTCAATAGTAATAAGTAGTAATTTTCTAAGTTTTTGAAACATTCTTCATTGGTGCTCCGCTCCTATTGGTCTTAGCGTGATGATATATAGCCTATAGCCTTCCTCGATAAATGGGCTATTTAACACTGAAAGAATTTTTCAAATCGGACCAGTAGTTCCTTAGATTAGCGCGTTCAAACAAACAAACAAACTCTTCAGCTTTATAATATTAGTATAGATTAAGTTATAGCATGTCTAGTTTGTAAAGTAAAAAATCTGTTAAATTAACTATCATACACTACTATAATCATGTTGTTTATGATGGCGAATTTCACAATGCACCTTGTGTATTTGAGAAAACATTTTACCTTTGAAACTTAAGGAATGCACATTAAAACTTATTACAATTTATTTAAATGATTAAAGATTAAAGCTGGTGGACTCTTTTTTTAAGTTTAAATATATATAACACGCTTTTTATGTGTATAGATATATGGTAAATAAAATAAATACTCATTATACTACTTACATTACAGGCAACCAGTAATGTCCTCATTCCTTTAGGACAAGGTATCACAAACCAGTTTTCATTAAAATCTTCAGGTTTCTCAATCATCCACTCGGACATCATTAGCACATTTTTATATGTTGTTGAGGATTTTGTAAACCCAGCCACATAGATGTTCGGTCTGTATTTTGCTTGATTCTGTATAATTAGAAGCAACATAATAATATATGGAATTAAGCAGTATATATTATGATGTAGTAGTAGGTAAGTAGGCATGGTTATAATATCACAAATGCAATAGTGACTTATTCTGTCTGTTTATTATGCTTTCACAGAGAAACTGCTATACTAATTTAAATGAATTTTGGTGTAGATATAACTAAGACTAAAGAAATTCTAAAGCTATTTTATTTAGCAAGTTATAAAAATATAGCAAATAAGTATACAAGTTTGTTTGGGCAACATATAATTTTTCAAGTTTCAAGGGATGTTAATTTTATTTCTTATAATTTAGAATAAACAATGTTTCTATGTTTTGACCAATAAAGGTAAAATAAGAGACAGTTGTTTGTATCCTAAATTACTTCGATACCTTTTATAACCACACTATGTAGGATTACTGACTAAACTCAAAAACAGTACAATAAATTCTGTAACATTGCCAAAAACACTGGTGATCTAAAAAACGACACAATCCCAAAATGAAAGAGAAATGTATGAGGAGATGCATGTTGATGTAATGTTTGATTTTCATACCTACATATAACATAGACTTACACATTTTAGTGTAAGTCTGTGTTAGCAATCAGGTAATCAATTACACAAGTAGTTGCCTCTTTGGTACACTTGAGAACAATGGATTGTTACTAACAAGTCTCCATGAGAGTATACTGTAAGTAGGTTCAAGTGCATGGCAGATATAGGCCAGATTGGGAGTGATACCTTAGCCCTTACAGAAAAACTGGTGTTAAGCAAATCATCTGTTGCTTTTCACCTAATACTATACCATAGAAAAAAGGTTAAGTCCAACATACCGCCCTCCTGTTACCCCGGTGATGGACTAACTCGCCATGGACCTAATTGACAGGCAAACCAAAAAAGAAATTATAAATAGATGTAAAATTTATTGAAGTGAAAACTTCTTTAGGCGCGTTGGGCATTTTTGAACAACAAACAAAATTATGTCTTTTATGGGAAAAAACCATTGAACTAGCAAAACTATTCCCGTTACCGTTACTGCCACCTCTGTATATAAGTTTTCACTTCTGTCGGCACTTCCGGAGTGGGACCACTTGGACAATTTACCTTTCAGTTACTTGAATTTGGAACTTTATCTATGATGGAAAGGATTCACATTTCTCACTAGAATTTACACTGTAATATTCATAACATTTAACTGAACTCCTCCTCTGCTATTTAGGCCTCTGTCTCTAATGCAACTTTATTTTCATTAATTCTATTCTCACCTTACGAGTTTCTTCTTGTTGTTCCACCTCATTCACCATATCCAATATTCCTCGACATGTGTCTAACTTTGAATTGCGATTGCTGCTGTGAAATAATATAGTTATTAAACAATTTGGATTGACAATTGTATTTTGCATAAATATTAAGCCAGTCTGCATTTAACAAAAAAATTACAAATTTTATTATTATTTTATTTACCTTCTTTGAACTTCTAGAGTATCTTTACGTCTTTGTTCTTGGTGTCCCAACTTTCCCCAGTTTTTATATAGGCCCTCGAATCCTCTGGTTTCTTCACTATCAGGGTTGAGGGCCGTAGTCCTAAACTGTGATAATATTTCGTCCATGTTCCCGTTCTTATTAATCAATAAAATTTACACAAGTAGAAGCCTGCTATAGGTTATCAATTTTATTTGTGGTGAAAAAAGTAACTCAATATTTTACGTTTGAATACGTTTATTTATTTTCAAAATAAACTACGTATTTTAGCCATCATTTTGACATTACTTAGCGCATGTCAAAACCGACTAATCAATACTTTGAAGTTAATAGGGGTGCACTTTGGTTTTATCAGTACGTATCTAAGTTACTAAGTAGGTCTCAGAAATGTTAACGATACACACTGTGGTACTTTCATGAGTAAAATATTTAACTGTAGGTATTAAAACAGGACATCCAGGTGGTACTCAGAATATTCCTTAATCATTCTTATAAAATTTCTTAGAAGGAGGAGTGTTCTCAGAACTGGCATTTAGAATTATTTCACTATCACTTAAAAAATAAATTTTGGGTTTTCTATTTTTAATGCCTAAAAAGTTGATGTATATGAACAACAGACGATATATGCAGTACAAAATGATTAATGATGATGAAAGTTCAATTTTGGTTCCAACCAGTTTCGGCCAAGAAAACTAGTTTCGGTTCCAGTGCGTCGTTCGGTTAAGACACCGGATCTGGCTGAGTTGCAATCACAGTACAGTGCTGTTGCAGATTTAACCACGGTATAGATATGACGCTAGTCAATTTTGAAAAAGTTACTAACAATAAATAATTTATACCGTGGGAGAGCCGTGCTTTGGCACAAACTCAACTCAACCAAATTGACATGGCTGGCCTCACAAAAATCCCCTTGATTCTTTTGTTTTTAGAGGCGGCTGACGAGCGGACGGATCACCTGATGGAAAGTGACCATCGCCATGAATGTCTGCAACTCAGGAGTCACAAACGCGTTGCCGGCCTTTTAGGAACGAGTACGCTCTTTTCTTGAAGGTCGTATCGGTCCGGAAATACCGCAGACGATAACCAGTTCCACAGATTGGTTGTGCGGGGCAAAAAGTGTCTCGAAAAGCGCACAGTAGTGGAGCGACAACTATCCAGGTAATGAGGATGAAAATTTTGCCTTGTGGAACGATGGCGGAAAGTTGCGGCTGGTATTAGTCCTAACAATTCCTTAGAGCACTCTCCATGATAGATGCTTTCTTAAAGAGCGCCAATATACTTGTGACTCTTGAATTACAGATGATCATGGGCGGTGGTAAACACTATACATGAGCTAAATGACCAGACAGGTCATGTCTGGTCATTTAGCTTTAGTATTTATTAACTACCTGTTCACCTCTACATTGTCAATTTATTTCAACATTTATTAACATTCAATTTATTGTGTTGCAGTGTAATATTATACATAAGTATAATCTCACAAATGTTAAATAATATTTAATAAAGAAGAAGAATATTATAAATCGAACTCTCAGGATCACACTAGTTTACTATAAACCATATAACCATTTGCTATACCACACCAACCAATCTCCTTTAATAAGAAGTTTTGTACTAGTAACAGCTACCTCCTGATACTCGAAGAAAAATTCTTGTTAAAAAACCTGGGGCCTGAGTTGTATTATGGTCCTATACATTATAAAATAGGACCATAGCACTACTCGAGACGCGCACGGAGACCGTTTTTAAGAAGGAAAGCAAAAATCTGAAACCGAAAATTATTACAGAGCATCAAACGACGGGGTAGAGAACGACTGAACGAACGTCAAAAGTGTTTCATAGTTGTAATATTGCAATTTATATGCCTACAAACATAGGTACATTAAACATATACAAAATAACAGCAGTCTCAAAACCTTGACTTACAACAATCGCGTTTAACTTGAAATTAAATTGATACACTAATAAAACACTTTACTCTCTTGTCTTGCCCCGTAGAACTGTTATTTCATCACTTCTTTTATTGAGATTACCACGAAAATTTAATTTACGAAACACCTACTGTTTACATACTCGTAATAAACTGTGGGCAAAACAACTTCGAGGACGAGGTGAACAGAAGAATTCGGTTGGGTTGGGCAGCGTTTGGGAAGCTACGTCGAGTCTTCTCATCGTCGATCCCACAGTGCCTTAAGACGAAAGTCTTTAATGAGTGCGTCCTACCCGTCATGACATACGGAGCTGAAACGTGGACACTTACGGCACGGCTGGTCCACAAGTTCAAAGTCGCTCAACGTGCTATGGAAAGGGCTATGCTCGGCGTTTCTCTAAGAGATCGCATCAGAAATGAGGTGATCCGGCAGAGAACCAAGGTCACCGACATAGCCTACCGGATCAGCAAGCTGAAGTGGCAGTGGGCTGGCCATATTAGCCGCAGAACCGACAACCGTTGGGGAAAACGAGTTCTTGAGTGGAGACTGCGTCTCGGTAAACGTAGTGTAGGACGCCCACAGGCCAGGGGGAGTGACGATTTCCGCAAGATGGCTGGCAGGAGCTGGATGCGAGAAGCCCAAATTCGATCTAAGTGGCGTGCAATGGGAGAGGCCTATGTCCAGCAGTGAACTGCGATAGGCTGATGATGATGATGATGATGAAAACAATTAAATATCCCAAGGCTTACTTATTTTAGTAGTGTACCACGGGTACAAGATTTCACATAATTGCTGACGGTTTATCAGTGTCAGAAAGGTATTTATATTTTACAAAATTAAAAATTAGTTTATAATTATTTTATTTTTATTATATTATAGGAGCTTCACCGCGGTAGTTAAAAAAGATATAATTCCATACACAAGTATTAAACATATAACTTACTAATTGTGATCGTTTGCTTCGCGGAATTTAACTAACTCTAATGTTCATTTTTACATCATACATTCCTAACTCCTAAGTGAACTAATGAGGCCTCAGCCATATTGCTAGTTCCACCACACGGCGCGCAGAGAGTACCTACTATGTTCAATATGAAAACGGCGCGTTACGATGACGACGCGGCGACGCACGAAAAAACTGGTACATTCACTTAAGTGATAATGATTCTTTTCCATTTCCAATTGAGGGATCCGTCTGTGAAATAAACTTAAAAATGCTAATTTTTGTAAGGGTCAAGTGTACCCCTTGAAATCGAACTCCTATCTTGAAAAATATGAAAAAAGAACACGATATATAAGGGATTCAGAAGATGAGCTATCACAGCTAAGTCAGCTTTGATAGCTTAAGAGTAATAGTGGCTCAACCTACAAAATTGCCTTACTTGGAAAGTTTCGTAAAAATTAATATCCTTAAAAGATCTAGATAAAGTAACTTGTTTAAAACGTGTAGTAATAAACTACGGCACCTTTCACTGTCAATGGCCCAAAACGCTGTTTGCTCAATTTTCTATTTTGTAGTAACCGCCGCTTTTTGATTCTCTCTTGCAAAAAACAATACAATTGGAAGCTGAGCTGAGTAGCAGCGCATTCAGGGTTCCTTAAGCATAAAAACTTTTATGTAAGATAAACATAAAATTTTGCATAATGATAATACGTAGATTTACGACATAGTCAAATTTATAACCACTTTTAGGTGATTTAACAACAGATTAACGACTTTTTGAGAAGCAAGGCCATACTGCGGTATGACCTTGCTTCTTGCCAAATCTCAAGATTCTAGTTCACTGGGAATGTTCAAACGTATTTGATACTAAAATCTACGATTTAAATGGCTGTTTCTTTTAACTTCGTGGAATTAGAAGCATGAATTTTACAGTTTCAAAAGACCGCGAACATTCTAGGGTCAGATCTCCATAGGCGTGAAATGTCGTGCGGTGTTCCGCAGGGGTCGGTGTTAGGGCCACTCTTGTGGAACATCGGCTACGACTGGGTGCTTCGTGGTGCCTTCTTGGATGGTGTCGCCGTCGTGTGCTACGCGGACGACACACTCGTGACGGCGCGCGGCAAGACGCACCACGAGGCAACCCTGAGGGCCACGGCCGGGGTTGCCCAAGTCGTTGAGCGTATCCGGCGGCTGGGTCTCGAGGTGGCTCTGCACAAGTCCGAGGCCCTGTTCTTCCACGGGCTTCGGAGGAAGCCGCCTGAGGGATCTAGCCTCACGGTAGGAGGCACTCGCATCGGCATCGAGCCCTCGATCAGGTTTCTGGGGCTCGTACTCGATGGCCGATGGGACTTCGGATATCATTTCCGAGGTCTGGTCCCCAAGTTGGTTGGGACAGCGCGTGCGTTGGCGCGGCTGCTGCCCAACATGAAGGGACCCGATGACTCCTGCAGGAGACTCTACTCGGGGGTTGTGCGGTCCATGGCCCTTTACGGGTGCCCAGTATGGGCGGGGGCCCTGAAGGCCAGCAACGTCGCGATACTGCGACGACCACAGCGAATGCTGGCCATCAGGATCATAAGGGGGTACCGCACGATCTCCTTTGAGGCGGCGAGTCTCCTGGCCGGAACTCCACCATGGGACCTGGAGGCGAGAGCCCTTGCGGCTCTGTATCAGTGGCGCAAGGAGGCGCAGGAGTTGGGTCGATCCCCCGAGATTCGAGAAATCGATGACCGGAAATCCCAACTCCGCCAGGTCATCATAGGGGAGTGGAGGGAACGACTCGGGCAACCGAGCGCCGGGCACGCCGTCATTGCGGCGGTAAGACCCGTTATGGAGGATTGGCTCGAGAGGCGTCACGGGACCCTCTCATACCGATTGACGCAGGTGATCACTGGGAAGGGATGTTTCGGAGATCACCTGTGTCTGATCCGCAAGGAGCCAACGCCTGAGTGCCACCACTGCGATGGCCAGACCGTGGACACGGCTCTCCACACGCTGGCAGAGCGCCCGGCGTGGGTTGAGCAGAGGCGAGACCTCGTGGCGGCCATCGGAGTGGGAGTTCTCTCGCTCGATAGCCTGATTGCGGCTATCGTGCGGAGCGAGAGTGCGTGGAACTCTGCCGTCTCCTTCTGCGAGCAAGTTATGCTCGCGAAGGAGATGGCGGAGCGGGACCGGGAGAGGTTTAGAACTCTCCCGGCCCGCCAGGCCCGGGCACGGGCCAGGCAACGCAGGCGACTCAGGCGCCGGAGGTCGC